TTCTCACCCTCTCCCTTGACCATATCAATGGTAAACAGACTTAGTATTTTGGAATATGGGACTAAGAGAAAGTCAGGATAAAGGCTCATCAATAACCAAAAACTATAAAATGAAAAACTCAGGAACTGTGGAGAGCCATGTTTTTGCCAGCTAGAAGAAGTCTATGGTGAAAGGGAAAAATGAAGGTGACATGATGCGAAACAGCAGAGACATGAGACAGAGGCTGTTTCCTGATGACAGTCATTACTCTGCATCATTGCTGTGTCTTTTCAAGAACTGGGTGTTCACCTCTGCCTTAGACCTCTGATTATATCCCAGCATCCTTCAAAATTGCTTCTCTGTGAGCTTGGCTTTTGGGCTTGTTTTTTGACTTACTTGTTTTTACTTCTAATAGCCTGTCACCGTGCTAGACATGTAAGCCAGAAGATTGAAAAACACACACACAGTCTCTATCTCATGATATGTAAGAAATGTTTCAAAAGGACACATGGAATGACTGTCAGTGGTGTAGGGTAGAACATGCTCCCCTAGGTTGTGTATCTGAATCATCCAACTATCATTTTCCCTTGACACTCCCCCTCTGCAAGATCTTGATTAACTTTCTCCCTCAGGGCCTGGGCATCTCTGGCGAAGAATTTTGATATAGTGAGCAGAGTGATGGATGAAAGGGGACTGCAAACATTTTCTGAAAAAGGTCAAATAGTAAATATTTTAGCTTTGGGGAGTATATAGACTGTCACAACCATTAAACTCTGCTCTTTTTATCCAAAATCACCCATAGAGAACACCGAATAGGCATGCTTGTGTTCCAATAAAACTTTATTTACAAAAACAGGTGGCAGGATGACTTTGGTCCCTGGGCTGCTGTTTGCTGCCTTGGCGCTGGGTATTTGGAGGCAAAGTAAAGATGAGAACCAGGATGTGGAGTGTTAACTGATTGGCAGAAATGGGTACCAGATGCTCTGGAATTACAGATAAAGCACCAAAATAAACTACGGGCATCAGGCAAAATGTATTTCTGCAAAAGATGATGCCTGAGTTGAGACTTCAAGCTAAAGAGGACGTTAGCCAGAGCAAGGAGGGATGAAGAGAAAAATCAGCATTTACAAGTGCAATGAGCTTTGGTAGCCACTGGCATTTGAAGACCTACAAGAAGTTCCCCATGATTGGGCAAAATACATGTTAGGAAAAATGGCAAGAAATATTAATATGATGAAGCAGAAAAGCAAGATAAAGATTTTTTAAAAAAACAATAAATTAAGAAATTTGAACTATATCCTAAAATCTTTGGGGAGCCATGGAAGAATTTTAAGCAAACAGAATAAATATCATCTGATTCCTTTAAAAAAAATTTCTCTCTCTAAGCTATAAAAAGTAGAAGCAGGAATTCCAGGTAGGAAAACATGGTAATTATTCAGATGTAAAGGGATGAGGCCCTGAATTTAGTCAATAGAGTCAATATACATACTAGAACTTTCAAACAGAACTTAAAGACACATGTAGGGCCAAGAAAAAAAAAAACTATTCATAGGAAAACTGGATGGATAAAAGGAAAAGCCACCAATTTTAAACATGTGAGGCATGGCAAATGTAGCTTGGTACATGTTGTGTGTGAGATGCCTGTGGGCCATTCAAATAGAAATGTAGATGGAGAATAAGAAGCTGGCTCTGAGCCAGGGGCGGTGGCTCATGCCTGTAATCCCAGCACTTTGAAAGGCCAAGGCAGGAGGATCATGAGGTCAAAAGATCAAGACCATCCTGGCCAGCACGGTGAAACTCAGTCTCTACTAAAAATACAAAACTTAGCTGGGCGTGGTGGCATGTGCCTGTAGTCCCAGCTACTTGAGAGGCTGAAGCAGGAGAATGGCTTGAACCCAGGAGGCGGAGGTTGCGGTGAGCCAATATCCTGCCACTGTACTCCAGCCTGGCGACAGAGCAAGACTCTGTCTTAGAAAAAAAAAAAAAACAAAAAAAGAAGAAGAAGCTGGGTCTGGAGGTAAGTCAGCTTTTTCTATACATTTGCTGACTACAGACAGCCCTAGAAGGTAGGTGCTGTCATTACTCTTATTTCCCAGATGAGAAAACAGGCCAAAGAGAGGCTAGGGGGAGTGCTTTCTGCAATAACACTGAAATTACAGAATTGGGGACTAGCTGAATATAGGAGCACATGACCAGGACATTTGGAAAGAGTGTGTGGGATGAAAAGGATGACCGAGGTTGAAACTCCAAAACAAAGACTTTCGAGTTAGAGAGATGAGGAACATGGTAGTAATATCCCCTCTAGAGCTAGAATATTTGAGCCCAAATCCCAACTCCGATGCTTACTAGTAGCTACATGATTTAAACTGAAATTTTAAATACCTCTATTTCTTAGTTGTCTCATCTTCAAAAACAAACATAGCACCAAACTTGTAGTGTTGTATATAGCAATTAAGAAGATGGATGTAAAAATCTGGTCACGCAGCACAGTGAATAGTGAGTACTCAGTAAATATTTGCTGTTATTTTCATTATTAGTTTAAAAAGAAAACAACAAAAAAGTTAGATTGAAGAAGGTTGGGCAGACAGCTCAAGGACTCTAAAAGATATCAGAGAACAGATGAAGGGGGTGAGACATGCAGTGATCAAGGCTTTTAGTTAGAAAGTGAGATCCTGAAGTTTGTGAAAGTCAAGGAATTGGAATGGTCCTGAATCTTGACCATCCAGAACAATGGTAGGGCTGAAAACAAAGATGGAGAATTGCAAATTGTGTGTTTAAATAGTCAACGAATGTGGAGAGAAATTAAGAGGTCCATGGTTGACAGAGTCCATGGTGGACAGCGCGGGGTGAGTGTGAAATGTGGAGAACTCAGACGGTTTAGCCAAATACCTTATTGTTTTTTAAAGAGAAATGTTAAATGGCAGGAAGAATAATGTTTTGGAACAGTAATGTGTGACATAAGAAAAAGTTACATAGCTCTTCCAAACAACGGTATCCCTAGGGAGACCAGGTTTCAATTACGGCACAAGATAGGGGAGGAAATATATAAAGAGACTGAAAATATGAGGGTTCACTGGCATAACAGGTGAACTTCAAGGGTACTATGCAAAGAGTTGGAAGGGGGAGGATGCGGGAGGGAAAGAGAAGAGAAATCAAAGCAGGACACAGATGCAGGTATGTGACAGAGGAGCTGTAATGACCAAAAGGGCATGGCTGCCAAGGAGAGCTGGAATGTGAGGCCTGGCAGAGTGCATGGCCTTCAAATTTCCAAAAGAAACTTTGGGATAAAGTTGTTTTCATGCTAGAAAACCATAGCATTTGCTCAGAGTTCCAAATAGTATGTTGTGAAAATATGATGCCTCCAAGCTAATGTTTTTCTGGATATGCAAGGCAGGACTTTCTCTTATCAGAAACTTAGCTTGTGGTGGAAGCCACAGTGGTCCCACTGGCAGATGAGAGGGCACAGATTTCTCTTGGTGGGGCCAACGGCTGTCTAAACTGGTCAAGGAGGCTATCCAAGCTCTCATCACAAGGTTTATATTTTAAGCCTTAATCTAGCAGAGCCAAGGTCTGTGCTCTCTGTACCACCATACCTCTAAATAAAGCCAACTATCAATAACTACTCGCTACTTTTCAGGGTCATTACTGAGAGCAAATGAGTTACTGTCTGCAAAAGTAATACATTTTGGAAGAGAAGACACACTGTACAAATATTCTGTCACTACCATTACCAAATAATTCATATGTGACAGTTACAGATGTATCCTAGAACTAACACATGAAGTGCTATGGAGGAGAGTGGAGAGACAGCCAAGATCCACGAGAGATTTCGCAAGGATTCTTGGAGGAGGTGAGATTGGAGATGACCCTTGAATGATGTTTCATTTTTCCCAAGGATACTTTCCCTCTAGATCTCAGACATACCCTTTCTATCTCCATTTCAATGCAGCTGAGGCAATTTGGCCTTCAGGGGAGAATGAGGGAAAACTGGAAAGGCCTCCTTGTGGCAACTGAAGCTGGGTGTGGGGCAGTGGACTAGAGCCCACCTACCTCTCAGGCAGTCATCTTCCCTTGGAAAAAACACTCCTCGCTGCTCCAGCCCAGCTCCTGGGGCCTGACCTCTTTTTCAAGCCTGCTTATCGAGCTTGAACTCCTCCAGCTGGATCTCGTTTTTTATTTGGCTCCTTCTTTTCAGCTGTTTCTCTTTCACTCCTCTCTTCCTGATTCTTGAAAGCAAATGTAGCCAAGCCTCATCCTCCTGCCCAGGAGAAGGCATAGAGATTGTATTGAGGCATGTTGGACCTATGTGGGACAAAAGACAGGTGTCTATCACTGGACCCTCTGATAGAGGTCTCCTTTGGGAACCACTGAGCCTCCTCTAGGTGCTTGGAATTCAGAAAAACAGGACTAGATAACCCAACATGTGTAAACAAGATGGAGAGAGATTTCAGCAGGAGGGAAAGGGACATTATCATTTTCCCAGGTAGTAACTGAAAACCAATCTGGGTCTTTGACTTGCTTTCCATTTTAAGCAATTGAGCTATGGGGGCTCCAGGTCAGGCCCCACATATTACATAGCATTCATCCAGCTATGAGGCCCAGCAAGTATAGAGGGAGAAATCTACCCCTACCACCACATACACAACTAAAACACCGCAGAAAGTTTTCCCCAAATTCCCATGCCACAGATCTGGGGGTATGCCTCCACCTCCAGGAGGAAGTGGCTTCCTGGAAGGCTGAAGGAGACGAAAAATGCAAGACTAATTCTCCCTTGCCCACTCTCACACCACTGCTCGGCCTGCCCGCCCCGCTTCCCACCCACAACCCCTCCTATTCCCCAAGGGGTGCCATTTGGGAACCAAAATCCACTTTGTCAGCGCAAGAGCAACCCTGCCTTTTCTTGCTCCACACACCATGTGACATTGGAGAACCTCCAGGGCATATTTCATCTGGCATCAACAACTAGAGGTCACCGTGACCCAAAACTTCCTGCGTTCTCAGTCAGGCCTGGCAACGCCTGCCAAAGCTAGCCATGGCAGGGGAAGGGGAGCGCCGCTTGTGGGGAGCTGACCAAGTGTGGTGTCGGCCGCGCTGCCTGCCAACAGACAGCAACACTGGTTTTCCACTGCCGACCATTCATTGGACTTGGACAGCTTTGCTCCTTCCCTGGGACCAAGTCAACAAGCTGGGACCAGAGGAGCTGTGGCTGTAGCATGCAGGGTAAGGCCGCCTCTGTTTGCATGCACAACAGGGGCAGCAGCTGGGCTGGATGACTCCCAGGGATTCTGATTTTCCACCTGTTTTACCTGCCAGGCAGTGCCGTGTGACAAGGGTCCAGGACACTCAGGGATCGTCGTTGCATTGTTTTTCTTTTCTACACAGGAAAAAACAAATTGTTATAAGGTCAGAGACTTCATGTTGAGTTTTGCTCAGGGTCAAAGGCAATGATGGTGAAACCACAAGGCTGGGAAATCATTTTAAGAATCAGTTTGCAGGGTCTACTTCTGTGCAAGAATAGTAAAGTTTTAGGGCCACAAAAGATCATAAACCATCCAAACTGGTGGGGCTTCATCCAGTTTGGTAAAGAAACCTTTGAGTAACTCACGAGAACAACCCACTCCCTGTCCTACAAAAAAAACCTGTGAACACCCAGGATTTTACTCACAATTTGGGCAGTTCAGGGACCTTCCCGGAAGCCCATCCTGACCTTCTTGTCTGCCCCCAGTACCCTCTGTTGCCCCTCAGCCATCTCATTTTGCAGAAGGAAAAATGTGAGGCCCAGGGGAGATATTGACTCTCGCAAGGATGGAAGCTGCATGTGGTCCTGCTGAACCCAGACCTCCTGATTCAGTCTTCCTAGCAAATGACATCATGCTCTCCTACCACAGGATCCCCCTTCCTTTCATCTTATTTTCTTTACTCTTACTCTCCTTGTTTTTCTTCATTGTTTTCCCTTCCTGCTCACTCCTCCTTGGTCCTCTTTCTTTAATTCTCATACTGTTTATCTTCAACCCTTGTTTCCTCTAGCACTTTCCTGACCCAGCTCTCCTTTCTTCTTGCTTTATACCTTGTGCTTCAGCACTTGATCAATTCGCCAGTCTTAGCTCTGTGTCCCTCTGACTGGGTCACTGGCACCTGCTGAATCAAAGGAGATAATGTCTAAACCGAAGGCAGAATGAGATTGCAGAAAGAACTGAAGTCAAATATAAAAATCCTGCCTCTCCTCTTAAATCTTCAGTCTAGATCTAGTACAAGCAGACCCTTTCTACTCTTAGTAAAGAAAGATGACTGCAAAAAGGGGGTGAAGCACAGAAACCAATTATTTCAGTCAGTAGTTCTCAAGTTGTGATCCAGCAATCCCTAGGAATTTCTAAGATCCTTTCAGAGAAGAAACAAGGTCCGATTATTTTCAAAATAATACTAAGCTATTGTTTGCCACTTCTCCTGTGTTGCCATTTGCACTGATGTGCAAAACACACCAGAAGGTAAAATTGCTGAGGCTTTAGCATGTTTAAGGCAGTGAACCCACCTCAGACCATATTCTTCACAGCCATGAATAACAGTCAAAAGAAAAAGTAAGTTTCTCTTTAGCTTGCCTTAAAGATGCAGCTTCAATTATTATTTATTTTATTAAATTTATAACCATGAGTACACATCTTTTCCTATTCCATGACAAAATGAGAAATATGCATGAAGTGCTTCTTCTGTTTACTGAAGTAAATAGTTGTCGAGAAAAAGTAGTTGCACAATTGAGATATAAACTAAGTCAACTGCTCTTTTCAGGGAACAAATATTTCTTTGGAAGAATAATGGACAGACAAACTATAGGTATTTAAACCTGGGTATTTCACAGACATTTTTTCAGTAATGAACAAAGTGAAGCTGCCACTTCAACAGCACAACCAGTAATACCTTTTTCCAATCAAAAATTTAAGCATTCAATAAAAAAAACTAGAATGTTGGAAAAGGTGTATTCACCACCGTGAACTTAACAGCTCCCCAGTACTTAAAACTTTTCTGATTTGATTAGTCTTGATGTTGAAATATGTGATAATTTGAGTTTGAGAATGAAATGTGCCAACATTTGAAAGACTGTCCGAAGTCAGTGAACCAATATTTCCCAGATGACCAAATGCATGTTACAAAGCCATGCATGGAGAAGGTACACATTTAAAATGCAAGACGCACTAGTAAATTTTAATATAAGTGAATACAAAATGTTTATTCATATAGTTGCAGATCCCACAATGCAGTTAATATTAAAGAAACTCCCACTTGTTAAGTTTTGATGTAACAGCAGAGAGAGAGAGAGAGAGAGAGAGAGAGAGAGAGAGAACTGTCTACAACTATCTGAAAACACTGTTAAAATATTTCACTCTCTCTCCATGGTATATCTGAATAAGGCAGAATTTTCTTCATCTACTTCAACTAAACAACATATTATTGCAGACTGAATATAAAAGAAGATAAGAAAATCTATGTCTTCAATTAAGCCAAACTTGAAAGAGATTTGCAAGAATATAAAACAACACCACTTTTTCTTTTGGAAAATATGTGAACTAATGAATTTTTTACATTTACACTTTTAATTTCTAATACAGTAAATATGAATAATTTAACTAACATAAGCAAAAGCTCTTTGGGGCCCTTCATCATTTTAAAGCACACAAAAGAGTCTCGGGCCAAAATGTTTGAGCACCACTACTGTAGCAGAACAGGTAAGAAGGAGGAAAAAGATCCATCCATTGGTATCAGACACTATGAGGAATCCAGCTGTCAGAAAGCTCACAATTTAACAGGAAGGTAAACAGGCAGATCTGTAAGGGCTCTGTGGGCACAGGCATGCCTCAGCAGAGGAGAGCTGAATTGCTCCACTCAAGTGGAGAGGAGAGGGGTGAGAGAAACCTTCACAGAGAAGGTAACACTCCAGAAGCCGGAATAGAAACTGGGGATTCAGGACACAAAACAAAAGAAGAGGCAGTGGTGATGGGGTGGTGCTGCGGCCCTCCAAGCAGGGAAAGAGCCCCAGGAAAGGAGGACGAAGGTTTGCTGAGTGGAGAGCAAGCGTTCCATTGGATGCAACTGAGGTGTGTACGCTGAGCCTGCTGGGAGAAGCCTCCTACACCATTGATGTTTACAAACTGTTTGCCAGATGACTGTGTCCATGAAAACAATGATAGACTATGAATGGGGTTAGCAGTGTCTTATCATTTCCACCTTCCACAGTATACATGAGAAAATTTTATGGATAAGGCTGATAGGGGTCAAGAGAAGTGAGATGATTCATGCCACATGCAAGTCAGAGACCGAGCTGGGCCCTGGCCAAACTCCCCTCTCCTGGCTCCAAAGTCTCCTTTACCAGACAATTTTTTTTAATAAAGTTAGGCCCTGGCTGAGATTCCTCTATCCCAACCTGAGAAGGATACTAAAGAATAAGGAAAGACAAACAGCTGTGAGAGTCATCTCTCAATGTACGTCTAAATGCCCACTCTCTGGTAAGAGCAATGGAGATTCTGAGATTAAAAGATGCTGTTTTTGCCCTCAGAGGCTCATGAACCAGACATTCAGGGCAGAGAAACTCATCTGACCATGACTTAGAGAATTCAGTGCTACCGTAACTACAGAGCACAGAAAGGAGCTTTGCGTGACGCTGATGAAGCTTTCCAGAGAGGATGGAGAAGATAGGAGTAATTCAAGAGATTTTTAAAGAATGGAGACTAAACCACACTAATACATCAGCCCTGAGACTCCCGAGGGGCAGGGACTATGACCTGTTTGCCTATGAGTCCCGCACACCTAGCATCATGCATGTCACTGCAAAGACATTCCATGAATATCAGATAAGCTACTCTGGATGCAAGGGCAAAGAAGAGACATGCCACTGAGACACAATTTTGAATATGCTCTGGTCTATGACTCTCCACTCTCCCTTTGTTCGTCCTTAGAAATCTTGCCAGTCTTCATTACCCAGATCTGCCCCTAGCAGGCAGCCTCTCCTAGACTGGCAATCAGGAGGTAAAAGATGTCCTGTTCCATTGCGGAGCCTTGCAGACACTCAGAACAAATAAAAGAGCCACTGAAGATCAAGTTTTTGTTTCACCTTCACACAACCTCTCTGACATCTCCCTATCTCAGCAAGCAGGGGCCAGAAGAATTGCATTGGTACCCTAGTCGTGAGCCAGACTCTCTGTGAGGAAGTCTACAATCAATACACATGACACAAGACTGATATGATGCCCCAGAACTGAGAGCACCTCTGCAAAACTGATGCCAATCATTTCCTAAGGTCGTGCATCCTGCTCCTTCAGGATGGATGGGCCTGCTCCCTGCCTCGCCCAGAGCAAGGAGAAAGGCTTCAGTGATGGATGACAGCAAGCGGATTGTCACCCTAAAGAAGGGGTGTTATGTAGTTCTCTCACCTCTGCTATCAACACTGACACACACACGTTTTCAGCACTACCTATCATGTCTCAAATCGCCCCAGCTTAAGACACTTCCTCTTTCTGAGATTGGCTGCCAATACACGTGGCAAGCAAGAGAACATCAATTACACCTGGGTGAAGCTGAGTGCTATAATTCAAAGAACTGCGTTAGTCAGAACAAATGATGCAACTTTAAGATGCAAGTCAGAGTCTGGGAGGAGGCGGAGGGATTTCAGCAGGATAAATAGCAAGTTGAACTCCAAGCTCAAGGACGTGAAGCAGTTCTGACGACCAGGGATCTCTTAAAGAGCCATTTAACAGGTATTTTCAGCATTTTGAATAGATACATTTTGTTCAGAAACAAAGCTTTGAAAGTAGGTATGCAGGGGGATGGTGGAATGAGGAAGAGAGGGAGAAGGTAGTGATGGAGTGTTCGAGGAGGAAAGAAAAATTGTACTGGAGAACATGTTTTCATTTTGTGAGATCCAGAAGCAATGTTGCTTCCTTCACAAAGTCCGCTTAGTACTCCACTGACTCAGGCTGAGCAAGGCCCGCTTTCCTCTCACTTCATACGCTGTCCTATTATAGTACATACAATGTGTTGTAGTACTCTGTTTCCAAAAACGTCTCTGTATAGGACTCATCTGATGGTGCCTGAACCCAAGAATTTCATGGTACTATATTTGTTCCCCAGTGTTCGAGCTTAAGGCAAGGCCCACAGTAAGAACTCCATGTGTTCAGAGGCTGTATTTTCAGTGAGATTCAGGTTACAAACTGAAAAATGAACAATTCATTAAA